TCTTTTTCTGCTTTAATTCTCTGCTGTAGCGTCTTCAGTTCAGTCATTACATTTAAAGTTCTGTAAACCCAGTTGACCTGAAAAATAAGTAAATAATTACATTTAAATCCATTCATATACATTCAATTACCATCTTAAGATGTATTCATATAAATACACACCACAATTATGATAGTATTGACCAGTAGAGGAGCTGAAAATACAAGTGAAATAAACATTCCTCTTGAATCGAAGTACTGATATTTAGAAAACAGCCTGAAAGAAGAAAAAAATAGAGAAATCTTTATTCAGCAGGTTTCACAGAACATTATACCTTCACAGGTATATTCAACTATTCAACATGGATAACATACAGACAATCCTACTTCTTGGGATCCCCAAACATATGCCTGCATTCTACTGTATGAAGCTTGAAGAAAGAGACTGTGTAAGGTTTCTTAAAGGCTCAGGACCCCGTATTGCAACCACAGATAAAGTAACATCCTGTGACTACATAAACAGGAAGGTATATTTGTGCCTCAGAAGTCATGCTTATTCTGAAGTCTTTTAAATTACTTTCTTAGATATTCATTTTAATTATTCATATTAGAAGAGGTAACTAAGTGGTTACTAAATGTAGTGAGGTTGTAAATTAGGTAAGTAAAGCACAGATTTACAGTACTTCTGTAGATAAACTTCATTGCTAACCATATAATTTTCAGCTACATTGGGAAAATGTCATTTCAATTCTTACGAAAATAAGCCACCGATTTACATCTGATACACAGGTTTAGTAAAAAGGGAAATTTTAATGACTTTTATATACATAGACAAACACGTAAAATAGCACCAATGTTTTTGAGAAGTAGTTCTTAACTTCAGCTTGTTAAACTCACAGCTACAAACAACCCATCACCACACACTCAACCAAGAAAAAAACCCAAAGCTCACATCGCATTTCCATTTTACCTGTACCATTCTGGCTTTCTCAAAAGTTTTGTATCCATGCAACACACTCCCTGTCATCCCATTCTACTGCTAAGTAGCTTTCTTTTAGGTTAAAGGCTTTCTGGGGAATGGTACAAAAAAAAACATTTTAGAAAAACATGCTTTTAAATGTGAAATTGAAAACATTTACCTCCAGTTCATGGCTGCTAATTCATTTATATATTCAGCACAGTACACTAAACACACTACAAAAAAGAAAAAAAAGCATTAGACTCAATATCTCTTTGAAAACAATCTGCCATCAGTTCTGCATTACGTATGAGATATATACACCGTACAGTACAATTTGTTGATATGTAGAAGCTAAAACTACACATTCACTATTTAATTGAACAAAAGCAGATCTGAATTAACATCCCATATAATTACTAACAAGTAGTGAAAAAAAGAAACACGTATAGACAAAAACAAACAAACAAACAAACAAATAAAATCTTACTTATCTGAGCTTACAAGAGCTCAGGTAATGAATTATCAATATAAAAAAAAAACAAGTTTTTTCAACAATCTTTTCTGTGACTGCTTTTAAGTTACGTCTGTAAAAAGAAATGTCAGAGCTTCCCTATAACTGGTATGGAATTCAGATATCAAAGAATCATGGGGGTTGGAAGGGACCTCAAGAGATCACCGAGTCCAATCCCCCTGCAGGTACCCTACAATAGGTCACACAAGTAGGCGTCCAGATAGGTCTTGAATATCTCCATAGAAGGAGACTCCACCACCTCTCTATGCAAACTGTTCCAAACTGTTCCAGTGCTCTGTCACCTTTACCATAAGGAAGATCTTCTGCACATTTGTATGATATCATGCTCTAGTACACACTTTTGTCTCAAGGATTAGTATTCTAATTTATATAGCAAGCACTTAAAGTGCATTTATGAAGTTATACCAAACCTTTCCTGTACTGCATGGTCTGAATCTTAAAATACTAGCAGATTTTCAACAGGTGCACAGCAGAATATTCTGATGCAGCGAGATAAAAGCTAATATATTCTTACTCAACAAATACATGCAGTGTAAAGATACCAAAACAGTAAAACAATCCAGTGCAATCACAGGTTTAGCAGGAAAGCAATGGAATCACAAAATGTATCATTTCAAGATATATCATATCAAGATCATCCAGCCCAACCATCCACCTATCACCACTAGCTCTCACTAAACCATGTCCCTCAACACAAAATCCAAATATTCCTTGAACACCTCCAGGGCTGGTGACTCCACCACCTCCCTGGGCAGCCCATTCCACTGCCTGACCACTCTTTCAGAAAAGCAGTATTTCCTAATGTTCAGCTTGAATCTCTCCTGGTGCAGCTTGAAGCCATTCCCTCTAGTCCTATGACCAGTTACATGAGAGAAGAGGCCAACCTCCAGCTCACTACAGCCTCCCTTCAGGTAGTGATAGAGAGCACTAATGTCTCCCCTAAGCCTCCTCTTCTCCAGACTGAAATTTAATTTAAAAAATGGCCTCTGTAAAGTCTTGCTCTGTCACACCACTGTCAAAGCTGGCAGCAGGGCTTACAGTAACCCTGTTCCATTTGAATGAAATGAAATGAATCCATTTGAAAGCTGCATTGACCAAACCGCAGCATTAACTACTGCAGAGCAGGAAACCACTTCTGTCTGTTTTTCAACTTCTTGTCCACTTCTCCAGTGCAACAACAGTTTCCTGGCCTGCTGTATAACACCACAGCACTAACCATGCAAAAACCTATCTATACTTCGCCTATCAGTACAAATAAAGTTTCAAGTCTCTACTTTATGCAGTCTCGTAAGCTAAGTATCTGTAGCTTATAGCTGTTCTGAAACACTTAAGTACATAATGCACAGACACACACGTTACCACAAGATAAATACTTTGCGATCACTTCATGAGTTGCAAATCTTTTTGTTAAACAAGAAAACCATCCCTAAGGAGTTCACAGAAGCACGGATGCGCTACTCACCCATGCACAGAAAGTGCCCTATTTGCACCCGGTAGTGCTGAAAAGAGAAGCAGGTCAGGAGAAAACACAGGACGTGGAAACCTGCCAGCCCCAGCAGCCAGGGCTCGGCCCAGTCCGTCTTCTGTGGAGAAAGAGAAAGGAGACGCGGCGACCAGGTGAGACGCGAGCCCGGCCGTGACGAGCGCCCTGCAGCCTCCCACACCGCAACCAAAACCCAGCTCTGTCACGGAGCGCGCTCACCTGCGTGACGGAGCACCCAGTGCGAGCAGTCCTCCCCCAACGGAAAGGGAGGCTCCCGTTACACGCACGGATCGGTGCCTTTTCCCCTTCCCTCCCGCGGACGGCTCCTCACCGCTAGGATGGTAGACAGCCCCGGAGGACCGTTCAGCGGCTGCTCCATGGCGACGGGGACACTCCGCCTTAGCATAGCCCAAGTCTCGCGAGAAGACACCCAAATAGCCAGCGAGACCATCTTCTCGCGAGAACTCGCAGCGGCTGGATCTCTGCCTCGCCGCTTGGAAAGGAGGTGCCTTATGGGGCTGGAAAATGGCGGCTGCGCCTTTAAGTGGGGTGGGTAGGAAGGTGGCTGCTCTGAGCTCAGGTAGCCTGTCCGGCAGGCAGCCTGCCAAAGGTACTGCCTCTTCTGCCTCTGTGTGTAAAGCGGTAGTCCTTAGAAACACTGCTTCAGCAGACTGTCAGAAGCTGTGGTGTTCAGTATTTCAGCCTGAAGTTAAGAAGTTAGTGTTAGTAAGAGGGACCAAAACCAAAAATACAAAAAGGCTAATCAACATACAGTAACTTGAGTCACATGAAGAGTATTACTTCTTTGCCAAAAGCAAATAGTATATGTATGTTAATAATCTTACTACGCAATTTAAAAGGAAGAAGGTGTCAAGAGGGTTAGTAACTCACTAAATGCACGCGGGGCTGTGAGCAGCCCATTGCTTTTAGGGATTTCAAGGTCAGATTCATTGGCTTCCCACCAGACCTTACAAATCTTAATGGGATTATCTGTGTCAAATGTGACATACTGTCATGCTATTCTGCCATTGCTCCACACTCTACTTCCTTCCCTCCCTCCCTCCATCCCTTTCTGTGGTTTTGGTTTGCTAGATCTGAAATTTGGGATTGTTTTTTTTCTTTTGCTCTTTTTTTTTTTCCCCTGGAGTGTTTAGAAGTGCTTGCTCAAGTGAATACTACTAACACTATTCTCACTTACTACATAGCCAAATACAGGCCAACACTGTGAGCGAATTTCTTTTTACTGTCACACGCTGGCAGTGTAGCATGAGATAGCTGACACTGAGGATGTTTCTCCCTTTTGCTTTAGGTTTTTGGTATTCTTTTTCTCAACAACAATGTTATCTAGAAGCAAATCAAGGGAGTTACTTAAGGCACTGTAAAATTAGGCAGGGTAGTAAAAAGGCTATCATTTCTACTAATGTTTTCCTCCAAATTTTAAAACTGTGGAAAAAAAATCCCATATTTTAGATAGGGAAACAGTGCCAGAAGAAATTGACTTGTCATTTGATAAAGCTTATGATTAGAGTAATAAATTAAATGGTTTGGGATTTTTGCAAAGTGGAATCAGCTTTTGATTGCTCAGAAATTGGCTAGAGTTATCGTCTGTCAATAGCTGATGGTTCATTTCATTCAAGTGATATACTTGATTATATACTCAAAATATACTGTCCAGTCGTGAGTCTGTGCTACAGACAGGGTGAGTGGATGGACTGTCAATGGCTTATTGGGGCTATAATGCACTGTATTAAAAAATTTATGTAGCTTTTACTGTACGCCAAAGTAACAAGAGTGTAAGGTTTTTGTTTCTGTCTTTTTAATAGTGAAATAGGAGTTCCTTCTGCAATAAAGCCAGTAACACTTTTCGTCACAAGGTGGTAGCAGATATGCAAGTATTACCCGCACTTTGATGTAGTGCAGGTTGTCTCAGACATTTTCAGCAGAGATTGAAGTGTGAAATATGAAATTAATGTACTAAAGAATTAACAGATGCACATTGTTATTTTATAAGTAAACACCCGTATATTTACCCTTGTGCAGCATTTTGCAGAGCCAGTATGCTATGTTTATATCCTAATTTTTTTTTTAAAGTACTGTGGAAGGAAATGTACAATGCAGTGGTAATAAATAAATATGCCTGGTCTTTTCATTATAAGTAGTTTGATCAAGTGATATGTAGAACTCAGCCTCTTCTAACCCCGCTACCATATTATTCAAGCAGATTGGATAAAAAATCCTCCCCAAAGTGGGTTGATTAAAGCATTTTTTTCCTTAGAAAACAAAAATATTTTGTTTTCCATAGGAAGGGATTGAAAATCTTAAGTTTATATTTAAGGTGAAGAAAAACAAACTGTTGGGAAAAAAAAAAAGATAAGGAAACCCAAATTTAAGTGCTCAACCCTAGGTATTCACTAGCAGATTCTGTTGCACTCTGTTAAAAATTAATGGGATATGTCTTTTTGTGCTTGCTGTTGAGAAGCTTTAAAGGGATGGAGAAGAGATTTGTTTTACAAATTCTCAATACAAGAAATGTTTCATTTTTTGTTTAATGAATCTTGTTTAATGAATGCTACTAATTGTTTAATGAGTCTCACTAATGAGTGGATAGTTAGATATTTTTTCATTTGTAGTTTCTGCCTTAAGAAAATGAAGTGCCTTTCATTGTAAGATCCATATTTTAAAGTATCTTTGAACAATGGAATACCAATTTCTGATGTCCTTGTATTGAGCAAGCCATGTCCTACACCCTTTTTTCTTAGCTTTTCATAAATTAAATGTTCTGTGTTTGTGGGGTATATTCCATTGTGAAGTGGATTTCATTTAGGAGTACTGGAGTTGTCTTGAGCTATCTAAACATTTCAAACTGTTGCTTGTGAAATAATTCACAACACTCTTAGTTTAAACAGGCAGTTCCATGGGGGAAAGTTATTAGGAACTTTCTTGTCTTTAATGATCAATTAAAAGAATACAAAATGCAAATATATTAGTTTATAAATGTCTTAGTGTGATGACATATGTCAGTGTACATACTCAAATGTCCTGATCAGAAGTCACACATAAGGAGAACTGAACACAGTCTGAAATTATTCTGCTATTCTTTTCCATAGCATGCACATCAGTCTATGGCCATCTGATCTCTCAGGGCCCTGCTGGAGTTGGTGAAGGGCACATTTTTCTGTATGCATCACCAAATCTGATCCCCAGGCAGAGATCTCCAAATGCACAATCAGGAATTGTTACTTCATGCTGCTTTCAAGAACATCTGAGTTGTTTACTGCGCCTTGCAGACCTGTTGTTGTGTTACTGTTAGGTTTTCCAGTTACTTTTCATCCTTCTTTGGTTTGTTACATAGAGGAATGGTACCAGAGCTGGACTGCAGAGAGCAGTGGGAGATGTGGAGGTGAATGTCTCGTGCTTGGTTCACCCATTGCTCACTTCTCCTGTAGAGAAAAAACTTTCCTCCATGCTCTCCCCAAGGGGAGGACAGACTACTTGATGAATGGACAGATCTTTGACTTAAGGCATCCCACTTTCTGGTAGATACAGCTGCTTTGTCTACAGTTAGAAGTTCAGCATGGTTTGGTTTGAACTGCCTCCACTGAAACACCAGCAACAGAAGCTTCCCACAGCTTGGGTCCAGCCAACAATTACTGTCTCATCCTATCCCTGGACAAGATCAACATATCTGAGAAAAACATATTCAACAGTGACCCCTTCCATGTTTCTGGAGGGTCAAAACTTTGGCAGAGGCAAAAATCCTTAGATTTTTGGCCCTTTGATTTTCTTCATGCTTTTTCTACCCTGTGTTCCCCACTTCACTCAGTTGTCTGTGACCCCACGCATGTGAGCAGAGCTGAGATTCTCTAAGGGACACAAATAGCAGCTATCTCAGGGCAAAAGGAAGAATTAATAGATATATTCTGTGTCTCTGTTAGGGAAGAAAAAAGCTGTCAGAAAAGAATGAACAAGCAAGTGAATGATGCAGCACCTCAGCAGACCCTCAGCCAAGGCAGAGATAGAAGCTGCACATAGGTAGAAGCTAGTGACATGTATACTTAATTTCTCTGCTTTGCAAAGGTCTTACTGCAGTTTTGCTGTGGGGCCAGCAACTACTTATTGCTGGCTGTCTCCGAATGTCTTGTTGGCTGCTGCACATGCACAGACTGCTTTGGGCAGTCTTTTCAGAGCTTTGAGACTAGTATAAAAATAGACTGAGCCTGGAAGTCTGGATTATCATCATTGCTATGGACACTTCCAAGCTGTCATTTTATCTGCCCTGAATATTTTCCTTATTTTCGTGGTTCTGCTCAAAAGCTGACTCAAATTCCCAGTGCAACTGTAGTGAACATAGAAAGTTGGTCTCTTATTCATTCTAATACACACTTCACTAAAATCCTTCACCATCCTAGCCCTTGCTGTCATCAGTACTTGATTTTGAGTGCTTCCATTATGTTTGTATCTGCTGTAATTTTACTTTTTTTATAGTATCAGCTTTCATTAGTTATGATGTATTTGGAAATCTGTAATAATAATAGTTTTGTCAAGATATCTTTTGAAATAATGTTTTAAACTGCCTGTAGATTGTTTTGGGGTATGTCACATGTACATTTCATGTTTAGACAATGGATGCTACTTTATCAAACCTTGTGAAAGGATATTGGGATGGACGGTCTCTAGAAGTCTGATGTACATTATTTTATGATTTTATTTTTCCAGTGATACAAACTGGGACTAAGTGGCTAGGAAACAGCACTGCTAAGTACAACCTGGATGTCCTGACTGAACGTAAACCATCAGCGTGCCCTGGCAGTAAATAATGCCAAAGGTCTTCTGGGCTGTATTAACAGTATACCAGGGAGAGTAAGGAATTCAACATTCAATAAGCAACTTCGGTGTCTAGCTTTGGGTACCTCAGATACAAGGAAGACAATGATAAACTATAAGTACTGCAGTGGAGAGCAGGGAGTTGTAGCATTTGTCCCTGGTGCAAGACTGAGAGAAATAGACTTGTTTGGCTTAGAGAAGATATCTCATAGCAGCCTATCAACACCTAGGAGGAAATTATCAAAAGAGATGAATCCAGGCTCCTTTGGTGTATTGGTAGGAGGATAAGATGCAGTAGGCAAAAATTTAAACTAGAGGTTTGGATGGATGTAAGAAGAAAGTTTTTCCCCATAGGGGCAAACAAGCAATGAAATAGGTTGTCAGAGTAGTTGTAAGGAGTTTATTGTCTGAGATTTTTCAGAAGCCAGCAGGATAAAACCCTAACCTGGCCTCCTAGTGGACCTTGGATGGAATGAGCTTCTAAGGTCCCTTCCAATCTGAATTATTCTGATTCCATGATTCTGTATTTTAAAATGAGAAAAAAAAATCAACTGTTTAGTTGTGTACACTAAACAATATTGCATTAGCCTAAAAGTTAAATTGATGTTTTGCATGTTATTTTTCTTTTTTAGAGTCTTAGTCTCTTAACTTCATCTCTTTCATCTACTTTCTGTCAGGGATTTTTTTTCAGTGCAGAATAGCTTCAGGCTTCAACTTCTCTTCCTCTGCTATTCCCAAACCTTACAGACAGTCTGAAATGCAAATATATTTTTGTTCTCTACCTACCAACATGACTGCCTATTAAATTATTCTGCTAATCCCACAAAAGATCTCCTCAGGATTCTTTCTAAGCTCCACTGTGTTCTGGAAAAATAACCAGATTTTACTTCTTTTGGGTCTTTGTTCAGAGCAGAAGAGGCCAACCGTAATTGCAAGCAAAAAAGAAACAACAGCCCTGCCAATATTAGATCCTGCTCTTAATTATGCACTTCATATTCACTGTGACTTCCTCTGAAGCTTTCTTCTTGCAGAATTGCTGCATTGATTTTTATTTTTTTTTTCTTTTTTTTTTTTCAGCTCAGAAGTACCACATTATGGCATTCAACAGGATAGGTTGAAAATTAAATACTTTTACATTTCTTTGATGTATGACTATAGTGTGTGTAGCACATAATTCACTGCATTCAAGTTACAATACGGCTATTGTCATAAAAGGGCAAGAAGGCATAGAGATATTTTGTATGTGTAGGGCAACCATTGTGATTTTGTCTGGATTTCTGGAACTTAATGTTAGCATTGTATTTTCTAAGGTCATGAGTGTATGGCACATCCTGGACTCTTTTGCCTCTTGTTCTTAACATGCAGGAAAGTGTGTGCTACATGGAGGAGGGAGCAGAAGGAACAGGATCTTCAACTGAGAGAGACGTTTTCTCAGACAATAATATGTTTTGAGGGATCTCATCCTCTTCATCTAAGAAACTGAGCACTCTGTATAAAATCTACTTCAGAGCTTGTGCTTCTTCATGGTCACCGTCTTTCTTTAAAGAATCAGGAGAAGAGAGTGGAAAAACTGGGTGGTATTCAGCAACAGAGAAGACAGACAGAGCTAGAAAGCTGGTATCTCCACCTTTTGATCTGGAGTTATGCGTGGCTATAACTTCCTGGTGTTTTTCTATTGCCCATCCTTAGCAGTTCATAATTCTGATGGTGATTTTGGGCCAAATGGCTCAGGCCAACTGTTCAAATTAGTTAAGGTTTGATCTCCGGATATAGAAATCAATTTTCACACATTATAAGTACTTATTGCCATATATGAAAGCGTCTATAATTGCAGAATTATAAATATTTGTATGTTTAACATGCGTCAATTTTGTGTTAGTACCTATTGGCCTGTTCTTACTATCTGTGTGCTAAAAGCATATACACTGAGAGTAATCATGTATTGCAATTTTCTGGCACATGTGTGGGAGCTCCAATGCATTTTGTATCAGGAGGGCTGAGCAGAGGTTAGTTAGTCCCCCTTGAATTTTTTTTTTTTGCAACTTGAGGTTTTACAGATTCATAGGTCATTTCACAATGCTATTCCTCTGCAGCGACAGAGATATGTTCCTAGACTTAACTGATCTTTTCAACGTTGGCTGGAGGAGTTGCTGTGGTAATGATGTTTTGACTTGTTCACTATTCACAAGCAATGTAACATTATATGTATATTAATCCAAGATTGTCTTCCATAATAACACACCAATTCTGTGCTTGAAAGTCCAATGTGGGGAAGATAGTGGCAGAGATTTTAGATGCTGTTCTGAACATAAGTTTTGTAAGACATTTATGTGTCAGAAATTTCAGTGAAATTGTTAAGAGTTTGATCTAGGAGAGTAAACCAGCTGAGCTGATACGTACATTCCTATCAGATGTCCTGCACAGAGTTCCTACAGCAGAGTAAAGGAAAATTGCACGTTAATCTTTGTGTCTGTGGCAGGGACAGAAATTTGAGCTTCCTCATCCGTGTACAAGGAAGCAATTTTTGGATGTAAGCTTTAAGGCACTAGAAAAGGAATTATATAATGAGTCAATTCAGGGAAAAAAAAAATGTTTAGCAGGCTACACGCATGCCTACAAAACCTTTGAGAAAGGTCAAATTGCACGGGCACTTCCAAGTCACTGCTAACTGCATAAATCATATTGCACAGAACATTTTTTTTTTTTGCTAAGACTATATTTTAGAGCTGCAGATCAAACAGCTGCAAGCCTAATGGCAGAATTTTCATTTCCGGGTACAGTTTTTAGAGTTGTGGGCTCGCATGATATTTTGAAAAAGAAACACAGAGGAATGGATCTAGTCTTAAAATTATCACTTGCAGCGAAACATTGTCACAGGTGTAGTTGTAGGGCGCGCTGAAGTGGTGAATTTTGAAAGAGGTAGCCCATTTCAAATTTAGGGCTGTATCTTTTAGGCAGAAGAATTCTAGGACTAGAGGCTATGGTGCAGTTGCATCTTTTTGAAAATAAAGTCTGGATTTATCAAACTGCAGCCTACTGTCTCTATTTTGGGGCTCCCCAGTGACAAGGAAGATACTAGCTTACTGGACCAAGTCAATGGATGATTTCTGCTATGATTAGGAATCTGAAGCCCAAGACATTACAAGGAGAAGTTGAGACGTCTAACTTTGTTCAGAGGTAAGAGAGAAAATGAAGATAATATTACACTGTTAACTTTATCAGATGTGATTTCTCCTTTGAAAACCTATGCTGACAACTGCCAGTCACCTTCTTGTCTTTCATATCGATGGAAATATTTTCAGGATTATTTACACTATTACCTTCCCACAGATTGAAGCAAGGCTATGTAACCTGAAACCCTTCTTGAAGACAGGAATGACACCTTATTTTTATTTTTATTTTATTTTTTCTTATTTTTTTCAGTTTTAGGAACCTTCTCTGACTGCATTTCAAAGATAATTTTTGGTTTTGCAAGCAAAAGTTGACTACCATGAATAGTACTGAAGCCAGAGATTATGTATATATCTATACCTTACTAAATCTTTCCGTGACCAAATAATCAGCTCTTGTTCTGTTGAAACACAGGATTTCAGGAAGAAATGTGTATCTGCTCAGGAATCATATCCCACTCCTCTATCCTGGAAAAGTATTTCACAGCTGGAGATCCACTGCTCTGGCTCACTTCTCTCATTTTCACTTCCAGTGTCCAGTCCTTTCATTTCCTGTTTATATCATAACCAGTACTGCCAGAAAGTAAAGTAGTATCAATTTGTTTTTTTTTGTTTATTGTTTTTTTTTTTTAAAATCTCCCATGCAGTGCCTTTTGATTGCATCCTGGAAAATGAAAAGTGGAAAAGAAAAAAATTCAGCAGAGCAAGGACAATGACAAAATGTAGTAACAACTGGAGCACCACTGAAAATCTATTCCTGAGTCTGTATTATCAATTCAAGGATAATACTTATCCGTGTGCTTGACCTCACCACCCCCTGCAGTATCTGCAAGAACACCTGTAACATTTATAGTTTGCAGTCTTCATTGCAGCATCCTTTCATGCTGTTTTCCCTGGAGTGAAATTAAATTTTACATTACTCAATAGCACTGTCTCTGTATCATGTCAGAATAGACTTTACTAGTGCTTTACTGGATGCTGTATTTACATGAGTATGGATAACACATGGTAATTCTAGGGTAGGGAGAGAAACTTATTCATGCTTGTCCAAATGAGAACAAGCAAAATATATGATCCTATGAAAATATCTAGTCTGTCTTCCTTTCCCCCTTTCCTTTAAGTCAAGCTGATGCAGCTATATCAACACATTTGGTCATGTGGATGCTCATTAGCTGTTGCTAGGGGAAAGATGCAGACCTGGCTTTCATCACTAGCAGTAGATGAGTTACCTTCCATGAGTTCCATCCAGAGGTTTTGAATTTCTCCCTCTGGTCCCTTCCGGGCCCCAGGTGCTGCAGTTTGAATACTGCAGTAGCCTTGTTTTCATTCTCCCAGACAAAAATCTTTGACTTCCTGTGACAGGGATGGATTTGCCTGGCTTTACCTGAGGCTTCGTTTCTGTTCCTGTTTTTCAAATATGTTGCCTTCAGTGTTGTTTTTTCTGTTGTTGTTTTTTTTTTTTTCTTTTTTTTTTTTTTCCTCTCTTGATGCAGCATTGATTCTGTAAGATGGGACTTTGCAGAGATTAGCTTCCATGTGACCTTGGCAGACTTTTTTCAGGTTATTCAGCCCCCTACCTAAACTTTTAATCCTATGCCTGGCTGAGCTCGCCAAAGCATTAATCTCTGATGGGACTGAGGTGGTAACCCTTAGGTAGCTGGTTTTGGTTTGGTTCTCCTGAATTGAAGGTATGAAGATTACTATAAAAACACTTGCATTAGTGAGGCTGATATGGTGTTGAAGCTGTAAAAAGTACAAGTTTGTATTTTGTAAAGACTCAGAAGTTGATCTGTACTGGAAACCATAGGCTAGAAAATAGAGATCCCTTAAGGTGGGCTGAGGAAGAAGGTCTAATGAAGGATGGTAGTTAAAGAAATATATGGGAACTTTCTTCTACGGAAACATTCAGAGCCATATTTATTTTAGTTTGTTCTTGTTTAAATCAAGGGAATCGAATACTTGTCTGTGTAACTTATAGCTTGCTTGATTTGAAGTGTACCATATTCAGGAAGAATCAGAGTACTGCATTCTATCGGTTAACCACTAATTATTGCTTTTTTTTCTACAGATATCAGGTGTATTTTTAGGACTTATGTGCTTGGGTTTTTTGTTTGTTGGTTGGTTTTTAGTGCTGTTATCAAGCTGAGGTTGTGATAGAGAAGCAGTTCTTTCATGCACTTTTATTAAACAGATAAAAAATTAGAATGTGCTCATCAGTTTCCAGTTGCAGATTCCCAGGGAAACACACATGAACAGGAAAAACAGATAGTTATATTTGCCTAGTGATACTTGCATAGCGAATTCTCTCAGCAATCTTGCAGCTCTTTGCTTTTGCATGTTGAGGGCTGGAAGAAATTTGCTGACTGAGATTTGAACTAACGTTGCTGAAGGCTCAGTGCGTACCATTAACCAGTTCCCTGGAGAATTCCAGAAACAAGATTAAAGAGTGTTGTCAGCAAATTACATATGCAATAAAAATGGGGCAATACAGCTAATTGTGAGGCTATGCATACATACTTTAGTTCGTGGTAGAAGGTAAGGAAATTAAATGAACATTCAACAGTCTTCTGTTGAGTAACAACAGTAGATGGCACTCTTTGTTCTTCTTCAGTATATTCCTTTTTTTTTTTTTTTTTTTTTTTTCAGGAACGAACAGGTTTTACGATGAAGGAAGTTTTGTGCTAAAGATCTACATGGTAATAAAAAAAGGGCCAGCGTACCTTTTAAGTTTATGGAACAGTTACTTATGCTTCCTGCAGGTGTTAATAATTGGCCTTTTAGTCCCTACTGCTAAATATATTCTGTGGGTACAAAGACCCTGCAGACTTCTGTAGGACCCCCATTGTATATTAAAAAAGAAGAAAATTTTAGCACCAAGACTTGTAGAATCATGTTGGGAATCTCTGTGGAAATGCTGAACACTGTTACTGTTTTGTTTTTGTTTTTTTCCTAAGTGCTATAACCCTGCACCTCTTTTGGTAATTCTGCCAGGTGCACAGTATATTGCTCTCCCAGTATGCTGTGAATGAAAACCATCGTAAGTCTCAGTTAAGTTACACTGTGTTCTACAGCTGTTTTGCTGCTGTTAAGAAAGAGAAGTCAGCTTCAGGTTGTAAGAAAGCTGATGGACAAGCAGGCAGCAGCGAGAGTGGTTCTGATGTTCCTGTGCATGCCATACACACAGTACCTGAACACTCACTATGTTTAAGCAGTAGTGCCCCATGAGGTGTTTTTATTAAGCAGAATTTTTTTGTGTGTTTACTCAATCGTTGCTGCATTCTAACAACATTTATGACTCTCATAGAAAGCTAATTTGAGATCCCTGGTAACAAGGAAATTATTTAAGGATGCTGATGATTTGGGGACTCTGCTATGTTACATGTTGCAACTGTAATTGCTGACTCCAGAGCCCTGGCCAGCTGCTCAGAAATGGATAATTTTGGTGATGATGTGAAGAATTGTAGTGTCCTGACAAAATTCAGTTACTCAAAGAAGGAAACATCCGAATTTCCTTTGGAGAAGATTGGTTGTGTTACTAGGTAAGTAGAAGAGCACAAGTATTTGGCTAAAACAGGTCTAGGCCATCTCTAAAGTGGATTACTATTTACTCTAAAGCAGGTTACTATGAGCAGATGCTGTTGGGCCTCCATTCATGAAAGTCTGAGCTCCTTGTAGTCTCTAGACAGTCATGAGAGAGAAACTGCCCTAAAAAAAAAAGCAAAGATTATTTTACAGTGTTCTGAGAATGAAGATTTTGGTAGAGAATGGGTTACCATGCTGTGCACAGTGGAAAATATGAATTAGGGTTTAGTGTGTGAAGGGACATGTGCTTCTCTGGCTTACTAAGATAGCTTTGAAGGTTATGGAAAATCCAGCATGAAACCAATCTTGCTGCATTCATATATATATTGTCAGTAGGATTAGTACTGAAGTGCAATCTGACCTTTCTGTATGCCTGTTTCTGTATTTGGGAAATTTATTGATATGCAGTAAAGTTCAGTCTGAGTATATGCCAAAATGTAGGTAATATGCAATCAGGGAAAGAGGGACTAAAACTTGAGTGCAAAGTTATTAATATGATGGATGGATTCCAGTGAGAATCTGTATGAGACATGGAGGAAAAAAATATGATTTAAAAAAGAAAAATATCTGAAACATGTATAAAATATATATATTTTTTCTGTTATAATTAAACATTAGCTTTTAATACTGCAGAACAAAGTGTTTGATTTCCAGGGTCAGTCTCCCTGAAAACACTGCTGTTAATAACTCTCAGTTTGAAGAGTCTTCTGTCATGAACAGTGAAGATCTTCATTAGTTACAGGGACTGAAGACAAAGAAGGTGCCTGGTTGCAGATATAGCAAAATGGACATCTTCAGGAGCTCCAATTAAAGCTTCTATGAAAGAGATTTAAAAAAAAAAAAAAAAGGAGAGAAATACAATGGAGTACACCTGAGTGCTATACATGGAACAATTACATAATGAAAGAACAATAGGATTTTCAGCTTTTCACATTTTCTTGAGACATTATGAAGAATCTGGCAGTGATCAGAACAGTAAATTGAGAAAAATGGTAAGATAAAATGCAGTTATAATGGCAGTAGCAGTAGCAGTGAGCTAATCTCAGTGGTAACTTGTGTGTTGCTATTACTAGATTCACAGTGTGATTATTAATGGCAAATGCAAAGCTGAAACAATGATATTTCCTAAATATGTCGTACTCTATCTGAAACTGTAGTAATTAAAATGTTTATAAATGAATGGAGTTAAGTTATTCTTATTTCATTTGCTGCATGTATGACACTTGAAACTGAAATAACATTTGGGAAAGCATTATTTAACTGTCAAAAGAAAATGTTAGAAATGAGAACTTAAATTGTGAAGTCAGAAAATAGGAACTATTGACTTAGTGTATTGATTCTTTCAAAAATGTGTATGTGCATGAAAATCTGTGCACTTGGTATTCTCTCCTAACAAATAAGTTTGAGGAAAAAAGGTGGTAAGTACATAATTTTTTTCCTGCAGCGTTGTTCAGGAAATGAGAATTCTTAATTTAGGCTTTATTAATAAAAGAGTTGATTATAGATGCTGAAGTGGGCAGGAGTCTTGGAAGCCTTGAAGGAAGCCCAATTTTATGGAATATATGCACAAGAGCTCTTGTTTTCGCAGAAAAAAAATGTCAATAATTATTTTGCTCCTTATAAATAATGTTGATTTTTTTTTTAGTGAGAATTCCTACTGCCTGCTTTTATCCTTTCATTCTACTTGATGATCAAGTGTCGTTTTTGATATTTTTTTTTAAAGAAACTGTTGCAAACTAGATCAATCCACATGAGTCTGCCCTTGCTAGTCATGAAACACTCCTTCTGCTTTTCCTGCTTTACTAAATTGCCTGTATTTTTTTTCCCTGGATATTAGAAGAATATCTTCTTCTGCAGAAAAGAAGTTTAACTTCTGTTTTTGTTGCAATAGGTTTGGATATCCACAAATTTTGTTTCATAGAACAGTGCCCAGAGAAAACATAACAGAATGAAAGTGTATGAGAAGGGGTGGGAACCAACAAATTTTTTTTGGACACCATCAAGATAAAGTCAATATTACTGTCATGTTCAGGAGAAATTACAATTTACTGCATATTTTGTAATGTCTAACAGTTTAATCCAAAGATGCATGAGACATTGTAATCTTTAGTATTTCAGTTTGCACATACCCACATATTCTTTCCTTGACAGTATGAGAGGATTGCTACTGAATTCTGCTGTTTCTGCTAGTTTACCTGTATAGCAAGCTCTGTGCTGTCAGGTTAAAAACAGAAAGCTAAAAACAAGAAAAAAACAACAACACAGAACAACAACAGAAAAACACCACAGAATAGGAAGTTAGCACAATGCTCCTTTCCAGATGTTTAGTAGTTTTTCTTGTTTTTAATTCATTTTCGCTCTGATTGCACTGGTTGCATCACTGAGAGTGAGATGAAGTCCCAAAAAATTATCAAGTAATTCGATTTTTTCTATGAAAATTTTTGAGGGGATACTTAAGTGCTGTTGAAGATTAAAGTAATAGCTTATCAAATGAAATACAGGACAGTGTGCTGTTTATTCTTGCATGAACTGAAGACATGAATTAATGGTAGCTATAGGCAGGAATGTATAAGAGGAGACACACATTTAGGGCAAATTGAAGGAGGAGGTAATAGATGTCAGAGTAAGGCATAGAGCAGGTTAAAAAAAAGGAAGCCTGAAGCACCAATGGATGAGTGGTTTTCCTACATATGCTGCTCAGTACCTAAAAGCAGAAAGACTGGAAAAAAGAAACTCATAGCCAGGTCTGTTGCCTCAATCCACATAATATGCTGTCACAAGATATTTTTCTTTTCTCTTTGTGTAAAAAACCCTGCACTGTACTTTTCTGTGGTCACACAGAAGCTGATTGACTGTAGCTGATTGTGGACACCTACTCAATTGCTTTCTCATTTCCTCTCATTAACTGGTTGGGGCTAGGAGGAAGTAATAGAATCATAGAACTCAGACAATAAAGCTCATAGGTTGAGATACATACATGCATCAAGACATTTCCACCCAATTTCTTCAACAACTACAGGACACAGAGAATTGTGTGTGTACATATGTGTATATGTATGTGTGTGTGTGTGTGTATGTGTATACACATGTATATGCTATCATGATATGCTGAGACATTCCTGTTTGAAATATGGTAATTTTTGTAGGCTTTCGTAGACCTACATTTTCGTAGACCTACATCTGAAGAATATTGAAGGACTTTTTAACTTTTTTTTTTTTTTTTTTCAAATATGGACAAAAGTAATTAATGGAGTGGTAGTGCCTACTTACATGTGTACATTTCTAACCATAATACAACCTTATGCAGACACTATAGGATAGTATTGTCAGTTTAACCATGCGCTTTTCTTATGCCACAACATGATGGAGCATTCCTTTGGTACACTTTCTGAAAGGCAGAGATGCCTCTGGGATTTCTAAGTGCCAGTGTCTGAAACATTTAGTGAATACTGGATACTGCTGTGCCCTTCATTATTTATGCCAAGATACAGGAGAAATATTTTACATTAGCTGGACTACAGTTTCTGCAGCAACTGCATTGCCAGCCTGCAGAAACTGCTCACATCACACATAATGCATTGAGAATCTGAAGTGCTACTAGCAGACTTATTAGTGATATAGGTGACAATTCTGCCTGTAATTAAAAAAAGTTTGTAAAAAGATTGTTAGTGAAGTGCTATTCTAAGAACAATGATGGGCAGCTGGGCCATGCTGCTCTCTTACTCCCCCTCCACAGAAAGACAGAAGGAAAAATTACAGTGAAAAAAATAAGCTTGAGAGAAGGACAGGAATATCACAGAATCTCAGAATAGATGGTGTTAGCAGGGCCATCTGTGTCCATTTGGTCCAACCCCTGCTCAAGAAGAAGAGCTTGTCCAGGATTGTGTCTAGGTGGATTTTGTGGATCTACAAAGTAGGAGACTCCACAGCCTCTGGGGGACCTGTGCCAGTTCTCTGTCATGTGCACAGTGCAGAAGTGCTTCCCAGTTTTTAGATGAATCATAGAATCATTTGAGTTGGAAAGGACCCTAAAAGGTTACCTGGTCCAACTCCGTAAGGCAGGATCACTTCCCTCAACCTGCTGGCCAATCTGCTTTTGATGCAGCCCAGGATACAGTTGGCTTTCTGGGCTGCAAGGGCACATTACTGCCTCATATTCAGCTTACCATCCATCAGTACCCCCAGGTCCTTTTCAGCAAGGCTGTGCTGGAATGGTCTGAGTTCCAGTTTGTGTGCCCATTGCCTCTTGTCCTGGCATCAGGCACCACTCAGGTTGGAAAAGACCTTACAGATCATTGAGTCCAACCACAACCTAACCATACTACCCTAACTCTAACAACCCTCTGCTAAATCATGTCCCTGAGCACCACATCCACATGGCTTTTAAACACATGCAGGGATGGTGACTCAACTACCTTCCTGGGTAGCCTATTCCAGTGCATATATGGGCGTGTATAGACATTGATAATATGCCTGCCCTTAGCCTCCCCTTCTGCACACTGAACAATCCCAGCTCACTCTGTCCTCAGAGGGTAAGTGTTCCAGTTGGACTCTGTCCTGTATGTCCTGTATTGTACTGGCATGCCCAGAACTGGAGATGATATTCCAGTGTGATCTCACCAATGCTGAGTATAGGGGAAAGATCATCTCTCCTGACCTGCTGGTGATACTTTGCCTAATGTAGCTAAGAATACCATTAGCCTTTGTAGTGATGAGGGCCCATCTCTGGTTCAAATGCTGCTTGGTGTCCACCATGACCACCAGATCCTTTTCTGCAAAGCTTGCCATGTACCACCTTGCAAATCCATGATGATTTTTGTTTTTCAGTTTAGTTTGCTTTCTGTGTTCTGTTCTGGCCTTTGAACAGTCAGAGTCCGTATTAGTCCTGGTATTGTGGTGAGTACCACAATGAAACAAGAATTTCCCTATTTTAGGGAAATATGGACACCTTGTTCATAATTGCTGAAGTCTTTTCTGACGGATGAAATCTCACAAGAAAGCTACTTCTATGGCTTTTGAAACTGCATAATCTTTGCCAGGAATAATATTTGCTTTCATCAGACAGTGAGAGGAAAAGATACCTATCTCTGCTCTTTTATTCATAATAATGTGAGGGGAATTTGCACAACATCTTTTTGATAATGTAGCCTGAGTTAGCAACAGCTGATAAGATGGGAATGTAAGTGAGTGAAGAAAGCAGCCGAAACAATTTTGCAGATTTATTTGCCTAGAACATAATAGTGCTAAGGAAGGAAACAGAAATGACTAAGTTTGCTTTATATGACCTCCATCCCAATTAAATAATAACCTGGAAATTGCCAAGAAGCTTTTGAGAAAAGTGTAAAAGCGTGACCTTGGAATGAATGAAGCAGAACAACATGTGGGCCTGATGCCGTGAGCATCTGTTAGTGGAGTGACAGTACAGAAGGCAATGCATACAGACCCATATATCAGATATGAACTCATGAGATGCTTTCTCATCAGCATGTGGCTTTGAGATTGTCGAGAAAAGTGTGGATATACACAAGGCTAAAGAAAATGTATCTCTAATAGAAGCTGACACTAGTACAGGGAATCTGCCTACAAGAGTTTTCCTCTGAGAGGGCCGATATAACTGGGCACCACACAGGATGCTCCATAAGAACATGAGTAAGAACTTGCTGTGATGGTGATGGAACACTGGAACAGGCTGCCCAGAAAAGTGGTGGAGACTTTTTCTCTGGACATAGTTAAAACCCACCTGGACGTTTTCCTGTGTAACCTGCTGTAGGGAGCGTGCTTTACAGGGGGTTGGACTAGATGATCTCCTGAGGTCCTTTCCAACCACTGCAATACTGTGATTTGATGTGAGTTTGCATATTTTAGGAGTTGAGGTGGCACTTTGTTAAGTGTTTAGAGTTGTGGTTTATCTGTTGTATTGCTGATTCTGAACCTGAATGTATAGCTCTTCGACTGCCAGTTAATTACATGTTATTTATGAATCACTAATGTGCTCTGAAGCTGATTGGTTTCTACATAGTTACACTGAGCATTTTTTTTAAATGCAACAAGTGTTCAGCTGCTTAATTTTGATGTTTCTGTAGCGGGAAGGATTTACAGAGTGTTGGTCTGTTTTAAACCCCATAAAATTCTAGGCTGTAGTAGCAACACTTTACCATTTCTCACACGAAGAACTGCACCTATAGGTCTAGGTGGAAATTTGTCTGCATGCACTATTTATACAGGAGCTCCAGAGGAGTAGTGAATGGATAGTAAATAAGAAAAAACACCTGCTAACACTGTTGTGTGTAATAATGCATTGACTAGTGGGGAGGGATTAGTCTCTTTTAAAAGCAGAATGACATTAATCCACACAGTCCACATTTCAAGGGTAAAAAAAAAGAAGAAAGAGGAAGAATAAGTGTGGGAAAGAACAGAAGAAGGCAGAAGTCTGTTACATGGCTGTAATCAGAAAAATGGGGAGGGTGGAGA